AAGTTCTTAAGTCTTGCAGATTTCCAGTTTCTCTCTGCTTCCTGTGCCTGCTTGAAGATGTAAGTGCTCAGTTTCTGACGGCCACCCCGCTACTGCCCCAGGCCTCCTCCTACCTTTGGATTCTTATTCCTCTGGAACCATAAGCCAAATAAAAATTTCCTTCTATGATTTGCCTTGGTCATGGTGTTTTATCACAGCAACAGAAAAGTCTAATACAGAAGAGGAATGATAAATCTCAGTGCTGAGCCAATCCTCGCTCTATCTTCCGACTCTTTGTTTCTGGAACTTGCATTAAACCATGTGAGCATCCACTCTGGACTCCGTGAAGGTGCTAAGGAGCAGATCTGGGTTCCTAGGTCTTCTGATTTGTACTTCAGAGGAGAAACAAAACAGCTCTTGTGACCTCTCTGCTGGAAGCCCGGCTGCAAATGCTGGACATCCAATGCCCACTCGAATAAGAACCATGCAGAAGTTTGAGTGCTCTGACCACCACCTCCGCACTTCTTCTACCCCAGGCTCTGGTTATGCTCGTTCTTCTCTTCAGTTCTAGGGTTGTTTACTGTTTAAGATTTTACACGTAAGTGAGAGTTCACAGAACTCTTCCTTCCATGTCTGCTTATGTTCTTAACATGAGGTCCTGAAGGTTTATCCACACTATCCCAGGTAGAAGAACTTTCTGTGTTTTTAAGGCTGACTAATGGCCCATGGTATGTAAACCTACGCTGTTTTCTTCATCTATCCAACCACTGACAGACATGATTTGACTGCTGTGAAATGCTGAACATGGAAGTTAGATGTCTCTGTGGGGTGCTGAGTCCATTTCTCTCAGATGTGCACTCAGAAGTGGAGTTTGCACCATTGGAACAGACATGCAGAGCTTTCATTATATAGGGTCCATACGTTCCAGAGACCTGACACTGCATGCTGTCCACACACACACACGCACACACACACACACACACACACGTGCATGCACGTGCGCACACGTGCACACATGTACACATGCGCGCACACATGCATGCACACACACGCATGCACGCACGTGCATACACATGTGCACACATGTACACATGCGTGCGCACACATGCATGCACACACACACGCACACTACAAGTATAGGGAGAAGCGGTAGGTGTGTTGTCAATGGAAACAGAATCTTGTTTTAGTTTGCCCTGATTTGGAAATTCAATTAGTTCTGTCTAGAAATGAGTTAAAATGAACTTAGCTCATTTCATTTGTGAAAACTGACATTTTCACAATATGAACTTGTCAGGTGGTGATATGAATATGTCTTGCCACTTATCCAGTCCTTTATTATGCTACTTAGATCGATGTGGTAATCATTTCCCAATGTATATACATATGTGTGTCTATAAATATCAATTTTCATACCTTAAGTATATATAATTTTGTCAAGTATGCCTCAATAAAGCTGTGAAAATAAACTCAATAAGTACATGGAGAAAAATGCGTGACTTACACAATCATTAACTGAAGGGTTTTCCCCTGTAAGGAGCCTTAACATCTCTGTGATAAGAAGCGACTCAATCAAAAATGGGAAAATAAACCAAGGAGGGTTTACAAATGAATAGGAGAGCATGAAATGCACTGAGCGGCACTGGCTGTGGACATAAGGAGGTCATCTCCACCTCTCACAAAGACTATTCCAAAAAGCATGGCTTTGGGTGTGGTGAGGGTGCAGACGAGGGACCTTGAAACGCTGCGGTAGAACTTGAGACCGCATAGCCAAGAGTTACTCAAGAAATGTCACGTGACCCAGAAAACGTCAAAGGAAATGAAACAGCATGTTGAAAAGCTATCTGCAGAGATGAGCAGATGGCATCATTGTTCACAATAGCCAAGAAGTGGACAGAGCCTGGGGGGGGGTCTTCCGGAGACTTCCTCTTAACTGCCCCCCAAAGACCCATCTGCTAAAGCCTCTGTCCTCAGGCCCTAGTGTTTTTGGAGGTGATGGAGTCTCTAAAGGCATAGCCTGGGCTCTTGGAAGGAAGTTGGAGCACTGGGGACCTGTCTCCTCTTTTTATTTCTCTCACTACCAGGTATAATCCAAGTGTATCCTTGCCAGATACTCCAACCATGGCACACGTTACTCTCCACAGGCCCAAGGCAATGGACGAAACCAACCATGAACTGGAACCTCCAACACTGAGCCAAAATAAACTTTATCTCTTCATAAGTTGATTATCTCAGGTGTTTTGTTAGAGTAGCATAAAACTAACCCAGGGTCCTTCAACTAACGTGCAAAGCCAGACACAGAAAGATAAACACGATATGCTCTCACTATATGTGGGGTCTAAAATGACTGAGCCCACAGAACTTGAACATAGAATGGTGGGGTTGGAGAGGAGAGATTTAACAGCAGTTACTAAGTCACAGTCAGGCAAGAGCAAGATGGTCCTGTGTGATATTATAGACTAGATGACGGTAGATAATGGCAACAGTATATATTGAAAAATCTCGACTAAGGGACTTGAAGTGTTTACATTGCAAAGAGATACATGCCTTGAGACCCCAAGTATGTTTAACACTATCAACACATCACACATAGTTCATATTTATATACAATTTTTATGCTTCCAAATAGCAATTAATTAATTGACATAAAAGCACAACACGATCCCCCCCCCCCCCCCCCCCCCGAGGCTGATGAGGATGGAGAGAAACTGGTCTCCTCAGCCATCACTGGCAGGGCGCAAAACATCACAGTCAATTTGTAAAACAGTTTTCTAGTTCCTTAAATTCTTAAAATTCAGAATAGCATGAAGCCTCCTAAATTCTACTCCTGGGTATGTATCATAGACAAATGAAAACATATGTTCCCTTAAAGACTTGTACACAGATGCTCCAAGCAGGGTATTCACAGCAGTTCAAAGTCAGGTGTCTGTCATTCAATGAACGGGTGCACAACAATGTATTCAGACAGAGAGACTGCTGAGCAATTTAAGAGGGGAAAGTACTGATGTGTGGCAACAGGGACCAACCTCAAGAAAAGATACCAAATGAAAACTACAAAGTCAGATACAAAATTCTCAAATTGTGTAACCCAAGCTGTATAAAATAACCACCAAAGGCAATATAAATAGACTAGATTAGTTATTGTCAGAGGTGGGGTGGGAATTGGAATTAACTGCAAGGAGGTTAAAAATAAACTTTGTGTTTGAAAGAAATGTATTGAATTATATTGATGTTTGTAGAATTTTCTAAGTATACCAAAATTTTATTTTTTGGTCTTTTTGGGACAGGGTCTCCCTGTAGCCCCAGCTGTCCTGGAACTCACTATGTAGACCAGGCTGGCCTTGAACTCACAGAAATCTGCCTGCCTCGGCCCCCTGAGTGCTGGGATTAAAGGCGTGCACCATATTAAATTTACTTATTGTGTGTGTGTGTGTGTGTGTGTGTGTGTGTGTGTGTACGGGGTAAGCTCCACTTCCTAAAAGTTTCAGAGCCTCTCAAAACGTACCTTTGCCCAGGGAACAAGTACCCAAAACAGAAGCCTGTGGTAGACTTCTGAGACTCAAACCACAACATTCTGCTCATGGCCCCCAAAGGCTCACTGCCACCCCATAATAAAATGAACTTAGTTCAACTCTGACAGTCTCCCTAAGTATTACAGTACTAACAGTGTTCAAACGGTTGCTGTCTCTCTTGAAACTCTTAACCGTGAGCCCTGTAAGCGCATCCCCCTCTGCAGGGAGAAACAGGAGGCGTCACGGTTGGGTTTAGCTTGCTTCAAGTTAGAACCACCTGAGCAGGGCGCCTCCCCTGAAAAACTGTCCCGATTGCTTTAGTTGATATAAGAAGACCCACCGCAAAGGCGGGCAGTGCCCTCTGGCAGCAGCCCAGATGAAAAGGGGTGTGGCGGAAGGAATTGTCTTGGCCTTTTGAGCTCGGCCCTCCCTCTAGCTGTGGCGTGGATTTATCCTGTTGCTGCTGCGGCTGATTCCTTCGCTGCCATTAGAGCCAGTGTTTCCAGACTTCTACTGCTGACTCAGGACCAGCCCTCTGGGTTTTAGGTACCAGACTGGGGCCGCTGAGGTACCCAGGCCTGTGGACCGAGCAACTATGGGCGGCTCAGCCTCTCCAGTGTGAGCCACTGTGGGACCCCCCAGCTGCTGAGGCACCCAGCTTCAAAGACCAAGCTTCTGTTCCCCTGAAGAACCCTGACTAGGAAGAGGCTATCCTGGAAACACTAGGGCAGTGGAAATCTTGTAGCATCACGGCCTGCATCCAGGGCATACACACTTCCATGGTGCGAGCTCCAATTGCCTGCTGTGACCTTGGCCTCCTGTAGCACAAATGGCCTCCTCCTGGGCCAGTTCGGCTGGTGGCTGCAGCTTTCCTAGGAAGGATGTCCCACATCCCTGGCATCCCCAGCATTCCTGGGACTCATTGCAACTTGAGCTTTGCCTTTTTAGCTTTTGCGGAGTCTACTCAGCGGCTTTCCACGGGGGCTCTCAGCATGCTGTACAATGTCTGGCCTCCTAGGCTTTTCTCAAAATCTTGGTGGAGGCCTCTATGATGCTATAACCCCTGTATTCTGTATGCCTGTAAACAATAGGGATGAAACCAAGTTCTGCTGCCCCTGGGAGTAGCCGTGGCCCACGTCTCTGGAAGCCTCTGAGTGCCTGGGTGGCCAGCCTGAATAAAAAGTACATTTTCCTAGGCAGCCTTGTTTCAGCAGGGCCCCTTATGCATGATGGGAAGCTGACTGGAGCTGGTTGTGTCTGTCAGTGATCAAACATAGAAATATATAGAACAAGGCTATGGGACGTGCCTTTCAAAACGGAACTTCTTTGCGTCAAAAGAATGTAGTTTTCCCAAGTATAAAATGACTTTATTTGGAATATCTGTCTTTGCATTACATTGCATTGATACGGATTTAGGGAGACTTCTGAGCTATAAAACATGCACAAACTCAAGTCCTGTCGAGAACTGACAGGGGTGTGGGACAAAGAGCGTCAGTCCTGAGCAGCGCTTACCTGACACAAACAGTCTCGCGCTGTTGCTCTGTCTTGTCTCGCTCGTGTACCTGTGCCGCGTGATGCAGCGGTAGTTGTACAACCCGTCTTCATTCTGTACATCTTTAATATACAAGGCTCCCGTGGATGAGATGAGAAATCTAGGTCCTGCAACAGACAAAGCCATCGCTCGGTTAAAAGGAGAGTGGAGACAGCCACATCAACAGGTCCTCTGAGGGTTATGTTTTCACCCGAAGACTCTTTTCAGACAGGCTAAAGAAACTGCTGTGTATCTGCTTAGAAGTCCAATCTGCTTCAGCTGTTCAACTGGACTAAGTTGGGATGTTGTCTTTTGTTTTTTAAAGATTTATTTTATTTTTAATTATGTGTAAATGTGTGTTGGTATGTGGGTGTGTGCATGTGAGTGCAGGTGACTGCAAAGGCCAGGAGAGGGTGTAGCAGCCTCTGGAGCTGGAGGTACAAGAGATCGTGAGCTGCCTGCCATGGGTGCTGAGGATGAACTCTGATTCTCTGCTGGAGCACTAGGGGCTCTTAACTGCCCTGCCAGCTCACCACCTGAGTGTATTTTCATTATTATGTCATATAGGAAACATATACACAGCAAGTGTCATCTCATAAATTCACATCTCAGGTCAGGTATTTATATTACAGCAATAAAACTGTCATATAATTGCTATACAATAAATTTAGCAGACCATCTGCAACTGTTATCTTTCCTTTAGCATGTAATAAGGTATAATTAACTTTCTGTTGCAAATCTATTGTTGATAAAAGAGTACACTTCTCTATCCAATGGAAGCACAGCAACAAAAATGTTAAACAGTAAACAGTAACATATTTCCCGGGAAAGATTTTCTTATTCCCTTATAAGTAACAACCAACATTTATCACTATATTCTGGGTCAAAGTTCAATTCTTTCTCCATTCATTTCAAAGTTTCTGTGATTTACCATTGTCTGAACTGCCAGGAATCTCAATTTGTTGTGTTTTTAATCGCAGCATATGTGTATGTTCGAGTGTGTGTATGTGAACATGCATGTGCCAGGCGGTGCATGTTCATTGCATATGTGTGCAAGCATGTGCACATGTGTCTGGCAGCCAGAGCATGTCATTTCTTAGGAACTGTCCACCTTGTCTTTCGAGGCAGGGTCTCCTGGAACTCACACTCAGCAAGGCTGGCCAGCCAGGGTCCTCCAGCCTCCAGCTCCCCGGCATTGGGATTACAAGCACGTGCCACCACACCTGGATTCTTTTACATAGACTCTGGGGTCAGACTTAGTTGTTCTTGCTTACAAGGTGAGTGCTTTACAGACTCAGCCCTCTCCCTAGCCCAGTTTCACTGGTCTGGGGACTCAGTTGTCTCACCCGCATGCATTATCCCCTCTCTCCTTGGTTATTTCTTATGGTGACTACATGTTATTCAATGGTCAGTTGCTCTGATAAAATTTTAAAAATGCATAAATTCTTATGAAAGATAAGATCAAATCAAAATAACACTGTGTGCTGGATAGCTTTAGTGTCAACTTGACACACCTGGGTTGAAGGAACCTCAATTGGGGAATTTCCTCTATTGGACTAGCCTGTGGCCATGTCTATGAGGCATCTTCTTGATTGTGTGATGTGGGAGGACACCCTGGGCAGGTGGGCCTGTGTTGCATAAGAAAGCAGGCTGAGCAGGGGCCAAGGGAGCAAGCCAGTAAGCAACATTCCTCCATGGCCTGTGCTCCAGCTCCTGCCTTCAGGTTCCTGCCCTGAGTTCCTACCTTGGGCTCCCTGATGAACTGTGACCTGGGAGATATAAGCTGAATAAAACCTTTCCTCCCCAAGTTGGTATTGGTCAGAGTGTTTTGTCACAGCAATGAAGAACAAACTAGGATACATTGGTATGAAAAAGAGTAATCAAAATAAGTACTGCCCTCAGATAGGGTTTCAAATGATTTAAAATAGTATAAATAGATTCAAAGTAGTATTTAGATTGACTTTTGAGAGTATTCTATTGACTCATTAATTTTAAAATGGAATGTAAATATACTTCATAACAGAAAGCTTAAAAACAAATGTCCAGGTCTGTATGAGTGCTGGGTACCTTTGCTTCATCCCACCCTCAAAAGAAGGCAGTGACAAATACCTTCCACCTTTGTCAGGTATCACCACGCTGTAAGCATGTCTTCTCGATCTGTAACTGCACAGGATGGAAACATGTTCCTCTTTAAACATATTTTGCATGGTTATGTAATGCTCTAATAATCAGTTCTTTTGAAGTATACTGACAGACTGGAAGGACAAGACAATAATGTGTGTAGGTCCCATCATCCTTTGAACTTGGAGCATTTCCCTGAGAACTGACAGCCCATCAGTTGGGAAGACGTGAGTGGAGGCCGTCTGAGAGCGCCCCTCCGCAGGGGAGGAGCCCAGTGCCAGCTCTACTTGGCCCTCTCTCCTCACTAGTGGGGGAATGAGACTCTGAAGTCATTATTTCAGTAGAACTTGAACCATTTTGTTGCTGTGAACACCTGAGATGTTCGAGGAGCTGACTTTCTGTACTTCTCATTGATGACCTCCTGTTTTTCATGAACCAATCAACGTTTTAAAACTGAAACCAATGTGGAGTAGCAAAAGCCCTGCATTTTCAGAGAACCTGGAGACCCATGGCCCCCGGTCATCTCAGCTCCAGAGGGGCATGGAACCCCAGGGACAGGACAGGATGTTCTATGATGGCATCCATCACCTCCACGGTAACAAGAAATTGTTACGCTGTTCCTACCCAGCTTCTACTGCACCCCACTTGTCACCAGAGGCTCCTGAAAAATATGGAATGAGTGGTTTCTTCACGCCTTTAAGTGGGATTTGTAGATGTCCAAAACATAGACAAATGTTTAAGAACTAATTATTAAAATCAATAAAATGCAAACACACAAACTCTCTTCTCTCTCTCTTTCTCTCTCTCTCTCTCTCTCTCTCTCTCTCTCACACACACACACACACACACACACACACACACACACACCTTGACTCACACACACACACACACACACACACACACACACACACCCCTTGACTCTGGAGGACTGACTGTCCCATAATACAATTGCCCAAAGACAAATTTCTCAGGTAACATTTTTTTTTTTTTTGGTCTTTTTGAGACAGGGTCTCCCTGTAGCCCCAGCTGTCCTGGAACTCACTATGTAGACCAGGCTGGCCTTGTGCTCACAGAGATCCACCTGCCTCTGCCTCCCAAGTACTGGGATTAAAGGCATGGGTCACCACACTCCGGCCCTCTCTCTTTTTTTAAGACCTGTCATATTGTGCAGCCCTAGAACTTGCTATGTAAACCAGACTGGCCTTGAACTCATAGAGATCTGCTTGCCTCTGCCCCCCCCCCCCCCCGGTGCTGGGATTAAAGGCGTGCACCACCACCCCCGGCATCAGGTAACATTTTTCAGAGGGGTGGACTATTGGCATTTTACAAGAACTATTTCTCAGCTATAGTCAGTCATCATTTGAGGCATATTACATCCTCAGCAAGTCAGAGTAAGCTGAACAGCCCTGAGTGGTCTTTGACTTTGGGGTCATCACTGTTACCTCTGATGACCGAGCTGTGCTATGCTGGTTTCACAGAGATGTCTAAGGGCCTGCCTTGACATCCCATCACACACTAGATGGTCCTGGGGTTCCCAGGTGTCCAAGTCACATATTAGGTGTGTTTACTAAATATAAAGCTCAAGCTAACTGACCTGGTTTCTCAGGTGTCTAAATCTCTGGACCTAATTCGTCATCATTTTTTGCTTCTTCCTCCCAACTAGACTGCTGCCCGTTACACCACTGCTGTCCTTGCCTCACATTCGTGGGTGAGGTGCATTTAGTGTTCAGAGTGAAGAATCAGGTGTGCCGAATCTGTTAGGGCTGTGACCAGATGGAGGGTAGACGGGTCGCAGTGACTACCATAGGAATGCTGCATAGTCAGTTAACACGAGCTTTATGTCAGAGCCACTGAGATAAGTCATGGCAACGCTCTAGGCTACCAGCCTGCTCAAGTGCACCAAACGGGCTGTGTGGTATTTCTGTCTAGAAGACACAGAGCTTTCACAGAAGATGGACATTTGCATAGTAGAAGGAAGCTTCAGGACTGTTCAGTCTACTTATCTTTGGTTCAGACTCTTTCTTAGATTTTATTTTTTAATTTTTAAATTTTAATTGAAAATTTGAGATTTTCATACAATATAATTTGATGGTATTTAGATTCCCCCCACCCCATCCCACCTTCAGACTCTTACAAAGAATCAAATTGAGGGCTCTTTCCATGGATAAGGTAGACTAACGTTACCTGCTTTGAGATCCCACACAGTTGCAGAGAAAAAAACCCAGCTTCAGAATCTAATGGAGATGAGCTCAGCTATCTGTCACTTTCTACCTGTGTGATGCCAGTCAAGCCATTTAAGTCTCTAAAGGCTTGTCTGTTCCTCCAGGGAAGACAGATGGTCAGAAATATCCTTCGTTCTGCCGCTGAGGATGAGATTTCTGTACAGATGTCAGATAATCATGTGTCTAGTGCCCAGCAGGATGAGTGCAGTTGGTAATAAAGTTTCGTATATCCTGAAACAACTAGGGCATTTGGTTCCTGGCAGACTCCTAAAAACGGCAGCACAGCTGCCCATATCCTAAAATAGTGGGTCTGGGCTTAGCCCAGGGCAAGTCCTTGTGCTATTGGGAGACCAACCAATCCTGAGCTAAACTGCCCAGCATACATCATGGAAAGTTACCCAAGCACCTAACTGCCTATAAAAGGTGTCTGACTTCCCCTGCTGGTTGCTGTTTCTCTGCTCCCCTAGAGGCAGCCCGCAGTCTGTTTGCTGTCAAATAAACTGCTGTCCCCCATGGAGTTGTCTTGTTTGGTGGTCTTCACCGCACCCTTTCATACAGAAGGTAAATTTCAAATACTCCCTCATAAAGATATGCAATATGGTGGATATGTAAAGACCTTGATTTAATCATTTTACATTTTATATATGTAGAATACCAATAGATTATACCTCATGAATACATAAATTATAATTGGTCAACTAAAATATTATTAATAAAAATAAAGTAAACATGAATATGGTTATCTTTTTATAAGTGAATGTATCTGTTCCGATAGGATACCTCAC